ATATATATATATATATATATATATAATTTATGTTACGATTTTTTCTGTGAATAGCACGCGTACTGGGCGCCTTTATTTTATTTTTTCTTAAAAAGATAATTTTGTTATGATATCACACATTTTATAGTATATATGTATTTTAGTATGAACTTTTAACATCTAAATTTATACTTGTAAAGGTATCTAATGATTCTTTAATTATAAATAATTTAAATTGCGTTTTCAGTTTGCGACTTTAATCTTTCTTCACGATGTGTTTCTTTAAAAATCTTTAACACATTAACTTTACAAGTCATTTAAATTCTAACTACTAAATCACTTTGTTAGTATGACACTTCATATTAATTTTGATACAGTTGTTTCTCTCGAATATTTTTTTGGAATGAAGTAAGCGAAATAATTTAAGAATGGCTGCGTTCCGCAGAAAAAGCAACTTTCTTTAATCGGATACGTGAATTCTGAAATATTCTAAGAAATAAAAATTATATAAAATTATACATAAATAAAAGAATTTTTCACATGATCAAATTTTCCATATAATTTTGTAACTTTTAAAAAAATTTTTCACATTTTTTGTATGAAACTTAGAATATTTCAGAATTTACATACATATCTGATTAAGACCGCACAAACCTTTGTATAACGCATAAGGTATAAGTAAATCAACCAATCAAAATTCTTTCTTGCCTTCTGTTAAGTCGTAGAAAATTAATCAATCATAGTCGATTATTCTTCTCATATCGGACTGTGATTGGTTAATTTTCTATTACTTAAGACGCTGCGACCACTACGACTTTTATTGTAGACCCCACATTCCTTTTCACGGAAAAGAGAAATTTTTGTTGATTTTTTTAGGTTAATATTATATTTGTCGTACGACAAATTTTTCATAAAACTATAGATCCAAAATACAGAAGAAATAATCTTAACTCTATTGCTTTCCATCGGTCAACTTCATTTAAACCACGTGTAAGACGAGAAAATTCCATTGGTATGTACTTATGTAAAGTAATTATATCGTTTGATAGTGCCTCTATATCCTTTGCACGTAAACGAGATATTTGATCGATACGCGATCGATCACCCATTTCTACAATATAGACATTCGAATATAGGCGGGAATTGCTGAAAAATGGCGTACCAATCAAAACTGGCTGTCTGATGTCGCGACTCTGATTAGAGGATCTCTATCTGGTCGTATGTAGGCTGCGTTCTGAAATGTCGCTCAGATGCCTCCGATGCCTCGGATTCATCATTTGTCCTTGTTTAACATTTATGCGTCGTCTACAATAGGTCTGTTCGCGTTGCTTGCACTTTTGGCATTCGGCATCTTCGCTTTCTCTCTTTTCAAGGCCAAATATATATCTATCTCATTTTAAGTGCAAAAATATTTGGGAATTTCATGCAACGCGAACAGATCTAATGGCAGTATCAGTAATGGATGAGGCTGTAAGAGTAAGAAATTAACCAATCACAATCGATTATTCTTCTTACATTCAACTGTGATTGGTTAATTTCTTACTCTTAGGGCGTGTTCACACCTTGACGGAAAAGCAGAAAGCGGAAAAGCAGCAGCCAATCAGAACTCGCGCTGGTATTCGACAATTTCGGCTTTTTTTGTATTACTTACTACCAGCACGAGTTGTAATTGGCCTGCTTTCCGTCAAGGTGTAAACGCGTCCTTATGGTGCGGTCCCATGATGCGGAATTGGCAGAACGCTCGTGATTGGTTTAGAAAAGACATATCGGCGGAGCGCAATTGACAGAATGCTTGCGATTGGACGGACATCATTTCGCCAATTCCGCATTGCGTATACGTTCCGCACCATGGGACCGCGCCATTATGAGAGGCCTACAATAGAAGTCGTAGCGGTCGTAAGGTCTTAAGTCGTAGAAAATTGACCAATCACAGTTGATTATTCTTCTCATATTCGACTGTGATTGGTCAATTTTTTACGACTTGAGACCCTACGACTGCTACGACTTCTATTGTAGACCCCGCATTGGCCCGTCTACAATACACGTAGTAAGCTTGGTTTAAGAAGTAAGAATAAGAAATTGACCAATCACAGTCGATTATTCTTCTCACATTCGACTGTGATTGGTCAATTTCTTACTCTTACTTCTTAAACCAAGCTTATTCCGCATATTGTAGACCACGCATTACAGTCTCATTCATTACTGATACTGCCATTGTAGACAACGTATTACCCGTAAAGCCCGTATCAGATTACCGACTCTGGCTGTTGATCAATAATGGACCAATCACATTGAATCAGTCTTATTGTGATTGGTCCATTATTGATCGATAGTCAGAGTTGGCAGTCGGGTCGGCTTGCAGAGTCGGTAGTCTGATACGGGCTTTAGAAAACCGCGACACTGGCAGAACTGGTTTGCCGGTCGCCCATCTAGTTTAGACTCGTTTCACGCACCGTGAGAGCGAGACGTTTCGTTCGTACGTCCGTCATGGCCGTCATGGCGGAGAATGTTTTCGTTCCGTGATACGCCGACTCGTGATTACATCGGCTCATCGATTCGGCCGGTCAACGACAAGCGGCGACAAGGACGTTGGTTTACGCTCGTTTCTTCGGTGAAGATCCAGCGATCATCTCGCGATCATGGACACGCGTGGCGTCGAAGTCACGAATCAGCTCCGGGTGAGTGTCATGGAACGCGTGCCTTAGCGCACGCGGAGATTCTATTAGCATAAGATTGTCCAATCATCCCGTTGCATGAAGACCCAGACGTGACATTTGATCCCGTACGTCGATACTACCCTGATTGTTATGTAATCGTCTAGTTCCTCGCAGAGAGACGTGAAGGTTTGAAAACGACGTGTGTCCTTCGCATGTCACAAAATCCGCTGTTTTAGAAATCCAGGCGCACCCCAGCTCTATTATTAAGTTTACTTTATTTATTTATGTAGCGTTAATTTCTGTCTCTCTGTGCATACAGAAGTCTAGGCTGTAGAAATGATTGGAAGCTACTTCTGCCTTTAAAAAAAAAAAAAAAAAAGATACAAGGGTAACTTCAAGAAACTAATGCGTCTAAGAAAGACGTACGTGACGAATGGAATTATTGTATTTGCAAATTACTTCTGCCTCTCTTCTTTCTTGGAAAAGATAGAAGAGCATTTTTGAGAAATCATTGTAACGCTTCTAAGATATATTTGATGAATTATTTATAAATTATAAGTTACTTCTGTCTTCTTTTTGGAAAAAGATACAACGTACCTTTAAAAAATCACTATAATGCTTCTAAAACATATTTGATGAATGGAATTATTTACAAGTTACTTCTGTCTTCTTGGAAAAAGATACAAGGGTATTAGAGAAGCAACTATTATGTCTCTCAAAAAGTATTATTATACTTGACGAATGAAATTATTTACATCTAATTGTATGGTATATTAAAAATCAATCCCTATAAAAACCAATTACGATATAAAAATTTTTGCACACAGTTTTTAGAGAAATGGATTAGACAATATAAGCTTGTTGAATGACCACCAAAGTATCTAAGCCTCTGAATTATTTCTTAAGGCAATCAAATCACTGGCTTATAAATTGAATCAGAACAATTGGTCGTTCATTAAACTCTACTGTGACTTCCATAACTTGACCGACTGAATGCTGTTGCCTAGTGTACTCAGTACATTATTTGACATTCCTAAGTCAATTACAATATTTTGGTTGGATTGAATTCTTTTTTGGGGATCGGATGTGCTACTTGATTAAAAAGAAGAAGAAAACTCAGAGCAGTAGAATAATTCTCAGAATAATTTAAAGGGAACTTTAGAATTTATATATAAATGTCAGAAGGTCTGTTCGTGTTATTTGGACTTTTTGCACTTATTGTTAGCATCTTTGCATTTTCTTTCTCCAATGTCCAATTGTATGTATTTATTTCATTTTAAGTGCAAATTTTTTGGGGGATTTAAGCAACGCGACAGACCTAGAAATAATCTTATCACAATAATCTTAGGAATGTTAACTTTTACCTTTACAAGACGGGAAGCCATTATACGTGACGCTGAAGCTTACTGTATCATATTTTGAGGCAAAAAATTCAATGAATTTAATAAATCTTACTCAAAGAAAAGTTGTAAGATTTAAAAAATAGATTCCCTTCGCTCTGTCTAAATCCCTCTCTAAAGATTTATTAGAATTCGTAAACGCGTTAGGGAAAATATACAAATGTTCAAAAGTCAGGTAAGTAAAGAAGTGTTAGAAAAAAGCAATTGAAACATGTAGTATAATGTAATAAATTGTTTATGGGGTCTAATTTTTGTACACTCTTTAATTGTAAAAGGCAGAAATCTAGAAAATGAATGCGTTTTATAGTTTTCACTAAGCGAGTTTTGTTTTAATTTTTCTTAATTGTTTTTAATTTGTCTTAATTTTCAGAGCGCCATTCGCGCCAAGCTTATGGAATTGGGAGTCCACTATGATGAAGAGCTACCTGATTACATATTGGTAATGGTGGTGAACAAGAAATCTCGTCAGCAGATGCATAATGACTTGAATCTGTTCCTGGAGGGCTGCACCACTGTATTCGTGGATTGGCTGCACGATCAGGTGCTAAAGAAACTGCAGAAAGTCACTGTAGCCAAGAAGAAATCGTCTCGCGAGTTTGTGCCTACCGTAGTGGTGAAGCAAGAGGAAGAGAGGAAGAAGAAGAAGATATCCGCGACTTCGTTCCTAGAGGATCAGGCAACGGAGCAGTCGTCCTCGGCTGTCGAGAAATTCCCGGATAAAAGTACGAAGAGCGACAAGCAATCACCGGTGCAGAAACAACAGGCTACAAAATCTTCTGTACCTAATCCAAATCCAGAGCGAAGTCACAGCAAGAGCGCGGAAAGAAGCGTGAAAAGTGTGCACAGCAAAAGTAGAACAGACGAAACGTCGTCAACACATGGCAGCGGATCTTATCAAGACTCTGCCTCCTTGAGGAAGCCGCAGCAGAGTTCCGAGCGCGACGAGAATACAAAGGATATCTCTGGCGCGCCTGAGAATCCCACTACAAAGACTACAAATTCGTATGGCGATCCAAAAGAGAGCGAGGCGCCGGATAAAAGTTTGAAGAGATCATTGGAGACGTCGAGTAGTCGTCACGACAGCACGGAGAAAAGGAGTAACGAGGCGAAGCGGCCGAAGCCATCCGAGGAAGAAAAGGACAGGGTTGGGTAAGTTAATGTTTTTTTAAAACTAAATTAAGTTAAAGTTAATGGCTTATACAATTAATAAAATTAAGTTAAGAGTTGAAGGAATAAAAATTTAGCTTAATAAAAATTAGGTTAAGATTGAATTAACTTAAGTTTAAAAAAAAGTTAATTTTGAAAAAAATTTTTGAGATCAGAATGTCCTAATTTTTCTTGTGAAATGAGATTACTTTAAATAACACTTACAATATAGATTATTAGGTAAATTTAATTTTTTTATTCGCATGTAAGTTACTTATATATAATAAGAATCACAACATAAGGTGTTTTTGTCAAAATCTTGCGAGAGAGAAGAGTATATATTTGCATTATCTTTCTTTCTTTAACCTTTATCTAACTTCTTTTGAGGTCTGAAATGACTGCTTACGCATGTTTACGACTACATTGACTAGATATTTGTTACAAAAGATATACGTAAAAATTTAGAAAATCGGTGGATGTACAGCACTGTTTTACAACAATTCTTTATCTAAGGCTCATTTCATATTTATATTGTTGAAATATAATATATTTATGATATCTAAACGTGTGATTCAAATATGCGGAAATTGACAAAACCTAGCAAGCCAATAAAAACTGGCTACCATATGATGTGACTCTTATTATAGACTAATTTAAACAATAAGAATATCTTATTTTTAGACCATACCATGTGAGAAACACAATTAATAACAGAAATTTGAAAGCCTATACCGGTCGAAAATTCAAATTATTTAAGAATTGCTTGTCAATTTAATTCGTGATATTATTCCAATAGTTTAATTGCGTTTATAAGTCCGGAAAACCAATTCGGCGCGCAGTTTGAAGGACTACAAATATATTATATATGCAAGTACATATATAGTATATATATAATTCACATTGAATTATTTAAAAAGCGTTAAAGATCTAGCTTCGACCGGTATAGGCTTTCAAAATTCTTATTATAGAGTCTCTAATCATAAAATCATTGAACTTTTTCTAAATTAATTCTCTAATGAGATTCTTTAAGATTTTATAAAAAAAATTATTATTATAGCATTAAGAGGGATAGAAAAATTTTTAATTTAAAAAAGTTAATAAAGTAACTCTCTCTCTCTCTAAATCAAGTTAAAAATTAATGTATTTAAAATTAACTGAGTTAAGTTAAAAGTCATTAACTTTTTTAACTTTTTTTTAACTTTTAACTTTAAGTTACTACCCAACCCTGGAAAAGGAAGATACGTCATCCCCGGATTCAAAGAAGCTTAAATCCTGCGTGAACAAGCCAAAGATCGTGTCGGTTGTGTCTGTGAAGACCCGGCTTGGCATAGTCTCTCCACGGAAGAAATTCGAAACATACAGAGAGAGGGAAGGCAACGGCCGCTACCGTCCGTTGGAGAAGCGGTTCGAGAAGTCGCATCGCTATGACAATGGACGTAGCGGAAAAGGCAGAAGCTTCGAGATGGACGATCGGGGTTCCAGACGGAATCGTGACGGCGACACGCGGCATCACGAGACTATGAACAAAGTCAACGATGTGAGGGGTCGGATAGAGAGTAGCAAGAGCGAGAGACTGAGCAGAAATGTGGAGTCCAGGGAGAAGAATTTAAATTCGAGTTCCAAAACGGACGCGTCCGCAAAAAAGTCTGCATGCACTATTAAGGACCGGCTGGGTATCAATAGTAAAGTCCAAAGACAGTCCACAAAATCGCAAGAGGCAATAGATTATAGGAACAATCCAAAGAGCTTGGATCAAGCGGGAAACAACAACAAAAATATCAAGGACAGGCTCGGTCCGTTAAAGAGTAATTTCAGGCCGTTGCATAAACAAAGACAGCTTCGCAGCAGCGAAAACGACAGATCTGTAGTTTCTCTGAATCCCGGTGCTGAGAGACACGAGGAAGAGGAGGGGAAGGAAACCGAAGATGAAGACGAAGCGGATAACGACGAACAGCTGACCGGACCTGTGAAATCACACATAGTCGCTGTAAACAGACCTGTATCCGCCACTGTTACGAGAACCGAGAGGAGACGTATAAAAACGTCGAATAATGTTCTGTTCAGTGCGATTCAAAATATCGGCTACCCAGGACACGGAGGCGCGAAATCTCAGGATAAGATGGACAAAAGGACGTCCAGCGACATAGACGAGGATATCGATGATACGAGGTTACCGAGCAAAGTAATTGTCACGCCAAGACCTTTGAAGCCGCTGCAACCAACACAGAAACGCGCCACACAGTCGCTTTTGTTACGAGCTGTCGCGGAGGCAAATCAGTCGGTTGTCACACAGAAGAATCCGGAACCTCTATTCGTAAGTTTCAATTCAATTAATATATTGTAAATCGACTAAACATTGTAAATCAAGCAACGATTCTTTGTAACTTTGTAACACCGAGGGCGATAAATGCCGATATTCTTTAATGTACATATATCTGTAAAATAAATGTATTAAACGTCGGAGAGCAAAGAACGTTTTTTCATGGAAGGCTCAATTTTGTTAGGACAAGAAGCCAGTCTTAAAGCGTCTTAAACCTGCCCCGGCTCGTGATGTAAGTCAAAACTTGTCGGTACATTTTAATTCTAGTAAGAGACTGGTGATGGAAAAGATTCAAGTCGAATTAAATACAATAGATCATCTGGATGTGGAAGACGTCGAGCACGAGCCTTGTAAGTGCCATCTTCGTGGAGACGTCTTTTTGTAACAGTTTGAAAGAGTTACAGAATCTGTCTCGTATCCTATTTGTACTCTTTCATTTTGGAAACTTTATTTATCGATCTTATACTATTATTTATTGAGTACCCGAACAAGCTAAAATTAGTTCTATTCTTAAATTTTATTCAGTTAGTCTCCTATAAAAATATGTATGAGATGACGATGGAAATCAAACCCGCAGCGTGTTATTTACAAATCAAGCTTTCTCTCACTAAACGTCACTCCTTTAATCTTCCATTAACACTTATATTAACTTATACTAACAGTTTCCAAATATTTAAAAATTGTAAAAAGTATATTTAAGATAAATAAAGATTTCAATGCGAATTCTTTCGCGATACAAAGACTAACTCTTTCATCCTTCCTTTCGGGATTTTAATTCCTCGCTTATTATCGCATAATCCGTAGATGTACCACAACCAGTAACGGACGAGCATATAGGAGTCATGATGTCGTTGTTCCAAAGGAGTGACGACAATCAAAAATTCTTAGTTACTCTGAACGGATACAACAACAATCTCATGAAAGAGAAAATCAGCTCCGAGGATGACGAAGAGCGACTGGAGATGGAGGTAATTTCTTCCACCACCTCTAAAGCATTTCCCTCATTCCCTCCCTCTGAATTTTAATCCTCACGCGTATTCTAGACGCACGATGTTCCTCCTCATGCTCGCAGGTGAACGAGGATGACGAGCTTGCACTGTTGACGACGCACAATGAAGCAACGACAACGATGGCGACAACGACGATGGCGGCAATGGCGGACGAATTGGAAATAAATAAGTTTAGAATAATGGACTCAGCGGAAGATAGCGAGCACGCTAGTCCAAAGGAAGCGAGCGGAGAGGAAAACAACGAGAACTGCAATACGGAGAACGTAGATAAGATCGACGAGATGCCCCGTAGACGGAGAAAATTAAGCCCTATAATATATAATAGATCTCATTCTCCTAGTCCCATACAACTGAAATCTAACGCGTCGACATTAGCCACCAAACGTAAGCATTAAAATTTTTTTTGGGGGTTTGTTTAGAGCTTAAAAGTATATTTTATTGTAAAATAATGCGATTGCTCTTTCCAGCCCCGGATAAAAAGCCGCTGGTAGAGACCACAGCCTCGGCCATTTCAGACAAATCTAGGGAGAATTGTCGATATTGGCCAAATTGTACATTAGGGAACAAATGCGCGTATCTTCATCCCCCTGTTATGTGCAGGTAATTCTAGAGATTCATTATATCTTTGATCTTTCTAGAGATTCATTATATCTCTGGAGAAAATTTTTCTCGGAATTTTTATGGTATGAATTATGAGAAAGTTTATATTTTAGAATCTTTTATGTAAGTGAATTCTGAAATATTCTAAAATTTCTAAGATTCTCATTCTACAATTTCTGAAAAAATACTTGAACTTTTTCTCAGATTTTATAAGATTTCATCAGAAATGATAGAATGAAATATCTTAGAATATTTCAGAATTCATATACATATATATGAAGAATTCTAGAAAAGATGTGTAAATTTGGTTGACGCTTCTGAAAAATGTTTCAATTGTATAAAAAATCCGAGAAATTTTGTAAAAAGTTATAAAATTATTCAGAAATTCTAAAAAATTATATGAAAAATTCTTACCAAAGATTACATCGTAAAATACAAACAACACTTTTCTTTCTATGATTATATGATGCTAGAAAATATTCATTCTTTTATTTAATTTTTATTAACTCGTCTTATTTTTTTCGCAGTGCCTTCCCGGCATGTAAGTTTGGTGACAAATGCGCCTACAAGCATCCCAAATGCAAATTCGGTTTGTCTTGCACAAAGCTAGGCTGCGTATTCTCGCATCCCGCCCAGCAGTGCAAGTATCATCCATTTTGCACGAAACCGGCATGTCCGTATTCCCATCCAGTCGCTTCCGCTCCGGCAGCAGAAGCGACAAGCCAGAGGGCAAAGTTTACCTGGCGGCGACGAGATTGAGCGTACTTTTGCGGATGTATAAACCGGGGTATATCGTTCTGATCAGATTAAGATTCTGATTCACATAAAATTACTTTGTACAGGTCACACAATGATGAGATATACAAGCTTAAGTAGCGTAAGTTGACGTAAAGATGTTACCGCAGCGGAATTTAACTTCGCGATTAAGGAATGCGTCACGAAAGCTTCAATACTATTGTGATTTATTATGTCAGATCGTAGTTTTACTTTCTCTTAAATAATTCAAGATAGAAAAAGAAACTTTTGAAAAACTTTAAACAGTGAAAATTTATTAGATTTAATTAATTAGATTTAAAATAATGAAGCTCTAATTTAGGATGTTAGATTTATATATATATAGATATTATATGTACTTCCCTCTGTTGATAATTATCTATCGCCTTAGATTCTAAGACCGCGTCAGTTCGAACTGTGAGCAATTTGCTGCCATTCTTAGATTATATATTCTACTTGTAATATGAAGGAAAAGATTTTAGTTTAGTTAACCAAGGCTAAATGCAATTGGCCTTAGGATGATCGTAAAATACGTTCTCTTTTAAGCTTCACCTCGCCAAGGCAATCTCGTCTCGATTTATATACGTGTATATATTCGAAAATGTATCGTGCGTTTCTAGTATCGGTAATATATATATATACATATATTAATATACATAAATGTATATATTTTTTATATATACATATATGTATACTACTTATGTAATGAACAGCCAGAATAATTATAATTAGATTTATTCCTTTTGTAAATCTTCCGCGCTTTATTTGCGAATTATTTCTTTTTGCTTTTATCAAAGCCCGTCAAAGTGAGAGTATATGTACAAAGTGTGCACTTCTAGGCTGCATTCGAGGAGCGCGCTATCAGCGCTATTTGTATCATCTATCTTTGTTTTACATCTAATAAACAATGAAGATAAAATGATAAATAGCGCTAATAGTGTCTCCCTAAATGTACCTCTAGTACATACGGAAAAATGCAAGAGGATATAATTCAGGAGCAGCAAGTCTATCGTACTGTTTCATGTCGAGAGTAATATGTATAACGATCGCTTGGCGTTATTAGCTCTGTATGCTCGTTTTAGGATTATGAGCGAGGTCTTTTTGCCGAGAATATTTACGCTTATAAAATATGAATTGGACATCCTCTCCGAGTGATTTAATCAGGTTTCGAGTGTGGACAAAAAAGCACATGGCTCTTCTAGAATGTATGCCGTGCACTCGGCGTTGCTTCCGCGGTTGAGGGGAGGCAGCGTAAAAATCAGGTACTTCGTTGCTCGATCACCGTTTATGTAATTTAACACAAATTGTATAGGCTCTTGTGTAGGGAAATAATTTAACTAGTGCTAGTGAATGATTGTGCATGAGATGTACAATATTATTGAAACTTGTCATCAGAAACAAATATACGATGATTTCTGTAAAATACAGTTTCATTTCTATTTGTATTTTCAATTTCGAGATATTCTCTTGTCCTCTCCAGTCTTCTAAAAAAAAAAAAGATCACAAAATGTTTTTATCTTTGTAATCCAAATCTAAACAATACAGGATAGGTGTAAGCAGCGATTGAAATTATTATATAAAATAATCACGATCATTATTATAATTTATACACGTGTCATTTAAAAATCGTCATCGCGATTAAAGGAAGGCAAGAATCGATCGAGACGTACTGCGATACGCAAGCTTAGCTGCGTGTGATTTATTGCGTTTTTTTTTATTTATATTCGTTTAAACCTTATCTCCAGATGAAACGTCGGTATAATTAGCGTGTCAGTGTATTATACATCGCCCTCGTTTCGTTCGAGGGAATGACACGCGAGTTTAGATTCTGACGTGAAATATCGCGATCATACCTTAAGAGGATCGATAGATCAACACGGTTTCTCTCATACACGCATTCGTATACGCTCGCACACAATTTCGCACTAATTTATATATACGTATAAATCTATGTGTATGCTCTACTGTGGGGCACTTAGAAAACTCGTTAATTCGTTCTCCTCATTCTCGCGTCGACTCTGCACCGGAAATCCAGGCGGGCCATGTGCGTTTGTGAGACACTTAAAAGTAATATAATATATATATATATATTTTCTTTCTTCCTTTGTTATTCAAGGATTGCTTCGTTTCGAAGGGGAAAAATAAAAAAATAGTGCGCGCGCGAACGTATCTCTCACCCCTTCTAACATTTTAATCTACTTTCGACAAGCGGACCCGGGGTCCCCTTCAGCGGAGAGGAGTAAAGCTCGATAGAGGAGATCTCTTGTAGAGAGAGAGAGAAAACACATGAATTAAATCGCGATTGGCAAGGATTTGTTTCTGCGAAGTTGAACATCTCTGCTTTTAAACCCGTTTTCACCAACGTAGATCAACTTTAAATTCTATTCAACTTTTTCTTCATTCTTTTCTAATCCTTAGAACTAAAAAAGATAGTAAGCCTGTTCTGTTTAACTGAACTTTTGCATCAGTTCATCTTTCTTCTTTTTCTCTTCAGGAGGAGAGAAAAAGAGTCTAATGAGTAAATTGAGCCGAGATTGAAGTTAATCTATGTTAGGAAACGTGCATTAGATGTATATTTAGTAATCCTAGGCAAGATATTTTTTTCTTCTAAATCTTCGAACATGGACAGGAACATTCGGATTCCTTAAATCGCGATTTGAAGACGGAGAGAGAGAAATTGAAACGAGAAATATTCAGGATTCATTCACGGATCCGTCTCGTCTCTCTTTTTTTTTTTACAAATGCATCAACTGTCAATAAAGCTTTCGCGAATATAACACCCTGTTTCCTGTTCCTCGATACCCTTGCATCGCCACACGATGCGCTGTCTTCTAAAAGAAAAAAAAAAGGATAGAAATGAAAAAAAATGGAAGAAAAAAGAATATGTTATATGTATACGATACGTACATACATATACATACATATATAATATATATATGTATAAAAGTGTGCGCAACGTTCTTCTCGAGATAATTTGGCAAGGATTAAAAATATCATAATTACATCAGCATACAAATGCCTATGTACGTGTGCCTATAACATTTGCCTATGTATGTGTGTTCGTGTGTGAGTGAAAATATGTATGTATTGTGTTCTTTGCGTGAATAATTATATTATATATCGCTGGGGAATAACGACATCGAAATTTGTATCTCGCACGTGCGACTTTTAAAACACGCGCACGCACAAAACTATCTTGAATCGCGGAGCGTTACAATTTTTTTTATATTAATTTCATTTTATATATATATATAATATATAATAATAAAAATAAAAATAATATTACAATATATATATATAATTACAAATAATTAGTTTTATCCGTGATATTCTATTATAATATTTCACTAGATTTTTTTTCTTAATAATGTCCCGCGTAGACTCTTCACCTTTTAATAGCGAGCCATAAAAAAAATACGGATGTGCGGAGGGCGGTCATATAATGCTCGATCTATTTGATTCTTATCACAGGAGTCCGCCGTTCCGACCGCCATTCTCTCACATCACTTCGACACTCGATTACCTCCAAATTAATAATTCCTACGCGAACGGCAAAGTGGCGGATAAACAAGCCGTTGAGCATAATGGTATAAGTCATATTTTTGCGGAACAAAAAGCGGCTGTCTAAAGAGTACTCAAATATAAAATATTACATGAAATCCAAACACACATCTGTATTATGTGAAATCTTTCTACATACATAAAGAAACAGATTACAAATTTTATATCGAAATAAACTGTAAGCTGTTTAATTGAACCTGATATATTGCATTTATTTCATTAAATTGGAACTAGTCTGACTAAGAATAAGAAATTATTAATCCGTTATATTACTGACTTGTACCATTATTTCGTTCGATGACTCATAATGTTCGACAAACGCAGAATCCACGCAATTGGAGAACCAACTGATTTTGTTCCCTTATAACTGTACTCTTCCTATAGTCTTCATAGTTCTTCCTCTTCCCTCTTTCGTAGTATAAAGTCTGACTCATACACAATATGCTTCATTTTAAACGCCGAAAGCGTAAGCGTCACGTTGCATTCTTATCACACTCTCCTTATCCTTATCGTCACTATCCTTATTTACACCTTACGCCGTAACGAATGTTCTTCATCTTCCATGCTATTAATTCTACCGCAGATTAATATTACAGTGCTACGGCTCGGTTTCGCGATAACGTAACTCCTTCCGATACTCACTCAGACCATTATTACTCGTTAATTGCTATTTCCATTTGATTGTATCGCGTTACATGTTGCACCAAAAGGATCGTATTCGCTGTCGGCGAAACCAAGCTCAAGAACTCTTCATTAAATCTTGCATATAACATGAGCCAAGTTAAACCCTTGTCCGGAATTATGGACTCACCACTGATCCCGTACTTTGCGATCCCCTCGCGGCATTTGACGATTATAAAAAAATAATAATATAACATCATTAGAATGATGCGTAAAATGCGTTTAACGGTTAACGCGCAGTTAATTACACATTAAAACCTTCAATTTTAGTCAACATGACGTACGGGACTGCGGCTTATCTGCAAATCCATTCGCGACAATAAAACGTCACGGGGACAAGGATCCTGATTGTTCGTGCCTTCTACCGCGCACTCGGAATTCACACATAAGATCCCGAGTCACTCATGATAAACATTTAATAAATATTCAGTCCCGTTTCCACTCGTATACTCCGTTCGGTTCATCTTACGTATTTCGGGTGTGTGTAATTAACATCTCTCTCTTCCTCTCTCTCTCTCTCTCTCTCTCTCTCTCTCTCTCTCTCTCTCTCTTTCGCACGATTGTTTCGAATTTGCACATAACAAAATCACCGCAATGCACTATCGACATATGCACACAATGCAGCAATCACGCCATTGATCGTCCGATCGACGATTCTATCTTTGGCCGCTTATCAAACGATGCATGGCAAAAAAATGGACGAACTAGGATAATTTTGCGATATCGCATTAAATATTCGGATAAAAAGGACGAACAAATTTTCGAATATCCTCAGAGTTGGCAGTAACATTTTTATAAGAGAGTGTATCTAAAGTTCGGAAAGATTTCAATCCGATTGGAATGAGCTATATTTTCGCGATAGCGTATTTGCTCGAGATAATTTACTTCTTCAAATTCGTATTTTCAGCCGGCAGTA